AAGCAGTGATTCATCCCTGAGAGGCCAACTGAGTAATCGGATGCAGAAAGAAGGTGCGGTTTCTCCTTAGGATTTGTTTTTTGAGCTGTCAAAACCCAGTTTCTGCTGTACACCGTTTCAGTTGATGTTTGCGAAGTATTCCTGATTTAGATAGGATTTTTAGTGCTGGAATACATGGTACTATAGTAGTGCTTGAAGTAAGCCATAAATTTGCCTACGTATTGGCGTTATTTGGCTATGTCCCAAACAGTCTGACTAAACTTGCAATACTTACCTTCCTTATATTTATTGTTTTGTTTAAAGGTAATCTATGGCGTGAATTGTGGGAAACCTCAAAACCAGTACCAGCTGTCAGACAAACACCCCTCTATGATGAGGACTTGGCTGTGTAAGATTTGATGTGTTTGTTGCAGTGTTGTCTGGTTTTTTTTTATGAAATCCCTGAAAAGTAACCTTTTGTGCCTGTACATAGGGACGGTATCCTGGATGCTTTGGAAGATATCTCACCATCTGTGCTTTTTGAACAATTGTTTATATCCCTTGTAAGTAGTCTTATGAAACCACACTTCATTTCTCATTTTTTGGTCTATTTTTTTGTCCACTAGTAATCTCAGTTATAATTACTTGAAAAGATTCCTATTAGCTCCTTTTGATAATCAAGTGGCCTCTTGAAGTGCCTTATTGCTATCAATTTGTCAATATTTCATTTTTATGTACTCCGTATATTTTTTGCAAGCCATATCAATGTTATGATGACCAGAAACGAGTTCAGTTCTGCTTTAGTTTCATATATTATTGAAATTTCAGCTGGGTGTAGGGTTTGTGATTGCCGAGTCAACCCTTTCATCAAATCCCAGCTTGTCAGGGTTGTTTCGTGAGTGCAAAGATTACATTGTTGCAACTTGTCAAAATAGCACGTGGGTGAAGAAAATTGATGATATATGTCAGGTATGTTTGTAGTTGGTTTAGCTTTTTTTGTACTTTGTAAGACATGCTAAGACATGAAAATGAAGTTGTATTAGATAAGACGGACGAGCCTCTCCACAATGTGAGGGAGTCGTCCTGTATGAAGTTGTTGAACCATTTAATTAAAAATTAAAGCAGTACATGCTATTTTATTTAGGTGTATGAAACAGTGGAGACAATGGTACATAGCCCGGATGAAGTCGTGAAAATGACAGTACAGTGCGGAGAGAACACCCCTCCTGTTAATGAGCTGAAAAGTCGCTTCAAGAGACTAAGCTCCATCTTTGGTAGTAATAAGGATAAGAAGAGTGCAGGGAAACCATCCCCAACAAACCAGGAGGAGAACCTTATAAAGCAATCACTCTCATCTATTTTCTCAAAGAAGCCACCAAAACCAGGCAACCTTAGTCCAATTGATACACTTTCCTCTTCTGTTGAGAATGATTGGACTATTGTATAAAATGTCTCACCCAAAGGTACAACTGTACATTAGTTTTTTGAGTAAACTATATGTATACGAACCTGTGGACAAAAGACAACACAGCATATTCTAAGTATATGATTGGAATATATATTTATACTTTTTTTAGAATTAAAGGCACACAACTTCAAGGACAATGTAGGTTGTCTGAGTTTGCCCAAGTTCCATGCAATCGTGTTTTTTTCTTCCCCCCTTGGCGCTTTATAGTTTAGCAGAACTAGCGGTATCTGGGAAACAAACTTAAAAAATATATAGGCGGCATAATTAAGGGAACTATGATACACGGCTAGGGGTGGACATATGTTTTGGGCCAGTAGGTTCTGACCACTTAAGGTAGTAACCAACTAACCACAACTGGAACTGTACAACTTGTTTCTTTTTGCATCCAATTAAACCGACAGTTCCAGACTTTGAGATCTAGATATGGTTCAGTTTCCCTAATTTCGAGACATTTATTAAAAAGAACGGGAAAGAGCTGGTCTGATCCTCTTCTGTAAACATCGGAATTAGACCTGAATCAAACGGGAAGAATGGAAAATATGCAGTTTCCGGTAGCAGTTCTGCTTATGGACTTGATTCAGTGTTCGGTAAAAACTAGATTGATCCGGTGGAAGTGTGGAACTGAAGCTGTGTCCATTCCTGTATGGGGCGCAGGCAAGCCTGTCAATTACTCTTCTTCAGAGAGAGGTGGGGAGTGGAATTTTGAGACCATGCCATGGTGACTTGAATGCCTTCTGCTGCTGGTGGTTCTTGTTCCCGAGGTTGGTGGTGGGTTTACGCAGAACGCAAACGTCACCCTGGCAGACATATTGACTGCTTGTCACCGGTGACTCCGAAAAGCAGCCACATATTTGGAACAAAGCCATTGCTGGGAAGATGGAGGAGATGGATGTAGATGATTTATTTAAGAGAAAGTTTCATTTGCAATCGTCTTTGCATACGCCTCTTTTATTTATAATCAATCAATTGAAAGGATTGCACTTGTTCTGTCCAGATTGGCAATTTTTAGCATTGAATAATTCCAACAACTTACTCACGCAGAGCAGTTGGAAATTCTGTGGTCAAGTTAAGTGTACATTGAGAGAGCACGCCTTGGCTTGCTTTTTGACCTATCAATCCTTATTGTTCCTTTTTACCAGTTTTCTTTTTTAATTTCACACTATGAAGTATGAACAGGTTAATAATGAAAAAGCAAGATTAAAAGCACAATATTTTTTTAGAATATTACTGAGATAAAACTTTGAAAATTGAATAAATTTATTCTAGGTATGACTTTGTGATCACTACGTATATGTTATTATTTCTTCCTATATTCAATTAATTTTAATCTTATCTCCCAAGCTAGGCGGGGCAACGTGTTAGATTGGTATATATATCACGCCTAATTGAACACTAAAAGAGTTTTGTGATTCACATTTAAATTATGTCTGATATCACGTCTAACCGAATTTTAAACAGTTTTCTAATTCATACTCCGTATTTAATTGACGTAGGATAGCTCACCCTCCCATACTAATTTGTGGTCTTAATATCGTGCTGATATGTAATATAATTTGTGCTAAGACATCATTATTGGCTTAGATATGTTTTCTAATTAATCCCTACAAATATAGTATACAATTTTTTCTGGGATTTCTCCTTAAATATTACTAATAAGAAAGTCATAGACAAATTTTTTACTTAGTAACTATTAGTAACTATAATTGTTCAAATTTACTCCGTACATCGTAGTAATTACATGTTAAAATTTACTACGGTGTAAACTTTGAATAAAATTATAGTCACTAATAGTTACTAAGTAATACTTTTGACCACTAGGTAATATTAATGGATTTTTTCTTTTTTACATCCTTGCAATTTTTTATTTATTTATGTATCTTTGTAATATACTAGTATGTTTTTATAGTGTCTCACCGATTATAACAATCTTGGTTTGACAACGAAAAACCCAACTAATAGGTTTATTATGTCATTCAAAAAATATGTAATTTTAATTTTTAGGTCATTAACCCCTATTTAAAATCATAGGAGAAAGTGATTCGTTTTACATTTGTTTTAACTCTCATATTAATCTAAAAGAACAATAAAAAGTATAAATTTAAGATTCTCTAGTAGATTTATGCAACCAACATCAATTTTTGTCTAAAAGAAGTGACATCAGGCTTAGAGATGGACTTGCAAGAAAATAATGTATATTACTGAGATGAAATAATTTTATCCAAAGATCTAATATAAAATGTCATATTTGCAGGGGAAAACGTTTTTAATCATGTTTATTAAGATGTTTTATATAGTTTCATATTTGATCCACGTGTATAACCCCAGGGGTGGGCATGTGTCGGGACAGTTCGGGATTAAGGTTATCTCGGTCCCACCCAATTATTAATAATGGTACGGGACGGTTCGGGACAAGTCATTGTCCTAGTCTTGTCTCATTTAAATCGAGACCGGTATGATTATGAATGATTTGGGATGTCCCAAACTAACATAAGAGTATGATACAAGAAAATCATCTTTTGTAATTAAATATATTAGCATTTCTAAAGTATCATGCATCAAAATATTAACATTTTAAAAGTCAACTGACGTTCTGTTCGGAGTATTATATTTTAATTAGGCTTAGCAAAAATTGAAATTAAAATTTAAAACAAAGCAAAAAAATGTATTAATTATTTATTCAAAATTATGTGTTCTAGTAGTAAGATACTCAAATGCAAATTTATAGTGAGATAAAAACCTAAGTTAGTACATATTTATGTTAGTAGTACCTCCGTCCCATTTATATTGGGACGGGAGAGGGTGGCACGGTTATTAAGAAAAGTGAGTTTGTGTGATTGATATTAATTGGTAAAGTAAGAATAAAGTAAGAATGATTTAGAGCCACACAAACATTGCCAAATATGGTATGAGACAATTTAATAGGACTTCCGGGAAAAAGGTAAAACGGGACAATATAAATGGGACGGAGGGAGTATTATTTTTTATTTAAAAATTGGGCTTGAGAAATTTAAAACATACTGTCATTTATTTTTTGAGTTGGCACTACAAATTAGTTGCATGCTAAAAACTATATAGTTATTATAAACGGGAAACGAGATGGTTCTTGATAACCTTCTAGTGTCCCGGTAATGTCCCGTTTTAAATCGGTACGGGACTTGTTGGGAAGAAAATGAACGGATCTCAAACGGAATGGGACAACATCGGCATGGTTGCGGGACCAGAAATTCTTGTCCACCCCTAATATAATCCCAATAATTTCTTATGTTAAAGTATTAAAAGTCAACGCGTGGGCTCGGCTTGGCCATTGGTTGACCCGTTGAGACTTGAGACATAAAGTTTTAAATATAAAAAATTAGAACTTTGCGAGTAGTAAAATTACTACTGTGGCCCAATTGAGAGCATGAAGTATTGAAATTTGATATAGATATTCTGAAATGTTGATATGGAATTAATAAAAATAAGAATAAACATCTTTAGACAGTTAAGGATGTTTTTACTTGGACTGAAATTTGTTGGTCTAGTCTATTTAAGTCTAGTCTGGTCTGTTAAATGTCCGGTCTCTTTGTATTTTATAATTACGAAATTCTGGTCTGATCTGTTTAAGTCTGATCTGACCTGTTTAACTCTGGTCTGGTCTGACCTGTTTAAGTCTGATCTGGTCTAGTCTAGGACCGAAAACAATCCAAGTAAAAATATCCTAAAAACACATAGAAGGAACAAAATGGAAGAGAACAATAAAAAGGTTGTACTTTAAATTGAGTCATTTTCATTTCATTTTCATTTACCCCAGTGCCGCAAAGGCTCCCCACCTACGGTGGGGTAAGGAGGGGTCGGATGTACGCAGTCTTACCTCTGTAGTAAAGCAGAAAGAGACTGTTTCCGGATGACCCGGCCGTAGTGAAAATCGCGTCCAAAATTGCATGGGTTGACTGCTACTTCATAACAAAGGAACGCAGACAGTTTAGTGAGCCATATTGCTTTATTCCATCTTATTCTCAAGCCAAAAAATAATGAATCTTTGGCTCCATTGCAAATGATGGAAAATGTAATTTAAATTGAGTACTTTAATAAAATCAAAACCATGTGAGCAGCTAGCTTTGCTTCTCTTCTCGTCATGCATATGGTAGTCTGAGACTCATACTGTCATACATCTACAAAACCAGGGATTCTCAACACTGAAGTTAATTTTCTCAAACAACCTGCTAAATTCTTAATGGCCATATCAATAATTCTATACCACAATTCACAAAGAATCGCTTTGAGAAAATCTTCCTAAATTCATCTTCTTGTCTTTTGGTGACTTAGAACTCAGGACTTCTCAAATGAGGAAGATCTTAAATGTGTGATGCAATCCACTTGATCATTGTAAAAGATATGTTGTTATGATGTGTTGTTGATTATGTGTCACTGAGGTCACCATATATGGAGTATATAAATGAGTAGCGATCCTGTCACGGCCATTTGGGCCTTTGGAGTCCTTTCCGGTGAAGTTTTTTCATGAATTTTAAGTTTTACATCAAATTTAGTACTTTATGCCCACAATTTTAGTTTAAAATTCAATCAGAAAAGCAATTAAATAAATTATTCAAAAACACTGTGTTATATATAAACCGCGCAATATTTTTAATTCCACATATTTTAACCTCGCCTCGTATGGTTAAAAACATATCATTGTGTATTTGTCCAGCAGGGAAAACTCAGAGAAGCGGGATAGTGGCAATACATATTTTTTATTTTCAATCATACTGATTTTATTTTGAAAATTTTGCACTTCAATTCTATGATTTCATTGTACTCCCTCGGTCCAATTCGATGATACCATTGCGGTTTACAATGTTTGATTGACGATAAAGTAAACGAATTCCTATCCGCACTCGAATTATTTTTAGAAAAAAAATTGCATATTCGGAAATACATTAAAAGCTTTACAAAGTTGCAAACACTGGATCAAATTTGATAAAAAAATTGATATACTCCCTCTGTCCCATTAGAAGGTTTCTACTTTCCTTTTTTTGGATGTCCCATATAAAGGTTTTTTTTTTCATTTTAGGAAACAATTAACAATCTTATGTGACAAATTAATCATTAAATATTAAAAATAATACATTTATAAGATCACAATTATCAATATTAACTACATTATAATATATACTCCGTACTTATTAAAATTATGGGAAAAATAATAAAAATACTACAAACTTTGAAGGGTGTGAGGTAAACACCCCAAACTTGCATATGTAATTTAAATACCCAAAACTTTATATAAAAAGTCATTTCACACCATTGTCATATAGTATTATTTCTTTCAAAAATGTAAATTTATGGGGTTAATGACATAATTTAAAATAGCAAATTAGAAGTGTTGCAATTATATACTCCGTAGATTGAGGGTAACATGATTTATTTCAGAATGGAAGTTTAGAATGTTAATTGTGTCTTCATGAATTCTAAAATATTTTAAAGTATGCAATTAACACCATAAATTTACATTTTTTAAAGAAATAAAACTTGATTATGGTGCTAAAATAACTTTATATATAAAGTTTGGGTTATTTAAATTACATATGCAAGTTTGGGGTGTTCATCTCATACCCCTTCAAAGTTTGGGGTATTTTAATTATTTTTCCCTAAAATTATTTCTCAAAATATATTCAAAGTACTTTATTTAATTATTGTCTAAAATAACCGTGCAGTTTTGTTATAGGAACCTTCCAACAGGACAGAGGTAGTATAAAAAAAGAGAATAAAAGTGATTTGTGTTAACCATGTGAATAAAAACTGGTACCATCAAATTGGGATAGAGGTAGTAGCTTTTTGTAGAAAGTATATTTTATTTGTTTATTTATAAAGAGTAGTTTTATTTGTAATACTCTAGGATAAAACTCATACAATATTACAATATGCTGAAAATAAAGAAAGGCCCTGAGAGGGAGGGTGAATTTAGTCATTTAGATGCTTTGTAAAACTTGGTGCCATGAAAATGGATATCCAGAACAAACAACAAGCTCCAATGAATCTATAATTTTGCTCAAATGTGTTTTCTAGAGCGCAGAACAAAACTGATTCAGTTTTAGTTGCTACCAATTACCTTAAATAAGAAAAACAAAATTACATTCTAACTTCTATACCTTCCTTCATTAGGTGTTCTTTGACAAACGGGATAGGGACCTGCATTTACAAGGTAATTATATTTCCTTAAAGAGGAACATTTTGAACATTATTAAAGTATATGGTAAAGTTTGTCCTTTATCTGTAAAACTCATAAGCCATTTAAGAGAGGCTTGACCATAATAATTTTTAGGCTAAAGGGTCAAATAGATACATGAACTAACTTAAAGTGTTCAATTAGCCTCTTATATAGGAGGTTCTGCCCGGCCGTCGCCAATTGGGGCGGTTCCCGGTGGAATTTTTTGACCAACTTCTTCATTAAGTCTAGTTTACCCATACCAAATTTCAGCTAAAAATTCAACCGGGAAGGCAGTCAAATGATTTTTTGAAGATAACTGCACAGTTAAACAGCGCAGTACATTTCGGAAAATCAATTGACTGCCTTCCCGATTTAATTTTTAGCTGAAATTTGATATGGGTAAACTAGACTTAATGAAGAAGATGCTCAAAAAAATTCATCAAAAAATTCAACTGGGAACCGCCCCAATTGGCGACGGCCGGGCAGAACCTCCTAAATAAGGGACTAATTGAACACTTTAAGTTAGTTCATGTATCTATTTGACCCTTTAGCCTAATTTTTAAAAACTGATAGTTAAAAACTGACACACACATATAGAATTAATTCCACTTTTGGTCCTATGAGCTTTATGTCAATTCCACATTTAGTCCACGTCTTTCATTTCGTCCACTTTTGGTACTTTACTAATATTTCTTGACCATTTATGGTTCTTTCCCAACGATTTTAACCACCTAAAACATTGACAGAAGGACCATATATGGGCGAGAAACAATATTCAAGTACCAAAAGTGGATAAAATGAAAGACATGGACTAAATATGGAATTGACATAAAACTCAAAGGACCAAAAGTGGAATTTACTCCACACATATATACATATGTTTCTGCTTAGTTGTACCCCGTGGGGGGAAGGGGGCAATCCAAGTTCTGTAATAAACTTTATTTCTTTGAGAAAAACTTTCTCTTCCGATTACCATTTTCTCTTCCGGTTACGTCACTAGTTATACCCAAATGGTGGAAGGAGTCAAATAGCTCAATGAAATGTTACCTCCTTTCTGTGGAAAATGCCGGCAGCAAGGGCAGCAGAAGCATTTGTTTCTTTGAAAACCTCTGAGAAGTGTTCAGCTGCTCCAGCGCCACTGCTTGCAATTACAGGGATGCTTACAGCATCTGATATTAACTTTATAAGATCTATATCAAAACCCTTTCCCTGACCTGTAAAAGCATTTATAATTTAAGAGCACAATGAGGATTTTTTATTGTCATGGAAAAAGAGATGCCTACCGAATGAGCATCCGGACTCAAAAATTAACAAAAATGTCCTTTTGCAGATAACACACTGATAGAGACACTAAAAACATTACTACTTCAAGGAAACATTAAGTCATTATAATACCGTCACAGTCAATGCAGTTTAACAGTATTTCACCAGCACCCAATTCTTCAACGGCTTTTGCAAGCTCAAATGCTCCAATTGCTCGACCTTCTCGTCCCCCATTCACCTTAAAATAGGTAAAGTGAAGGCATTGAAGGAGTGTAAAGAGAGAGTACCCTAGGTATATATGATCCTACTTAATGGTATATATGATCCTACTTAATAAAAGAGAATGATAATAGTACATCCTACAACGATTACAGAAAACTAAAGATAAGTGGGTAAATCTAATAATTCAATATAAATGGGTCATTAAATGGAATCTCACTGTGCATTGGTACCAAGCATATTCTTCACCATTTGGACCTGAAACCAGCATCAAAAGGGAAAAATATATAAATCATATCTGGCTCAGAGATGGCAGCTTCATATCTGGAACAGAGTATGTTTCACTCGCTAAATGAATCTTATCTTGTTCCGTAAGTCTTCTTTAATAAGTGAAAAGAAATTCAAACACAAACTAGGAAGTCCAAACTATTGGAAATCTCATACCATTCCTGCCTTACCTGGGTTCCTCACTTTGATGGCCTTGAATTCCACATCTTGTGGATCCTTCAAATACACCTTGCGGGGATCTATACTTACAACCACTGCCTACAAAACAAAAGCATCAGTGGTATCACATAAATCATCCTCTCCTAGGTAAGCAGCCCTAAAAGCAGCTTATACAGTTTACATGAATTAAGCCCGCATATGTACATACCATGATAAGATAATATCGCTCATTAGCTATATATGTAATATTTTTTTCTTAAGGCAACAGCTTGTATACTTGCCAAAATATTTGTTACATATTAATTTAATACATTAATTTGTTTTTTTGTATTCCCATTATCTCCAAAAATTAACATTTTGCTGATTCTACAGAGCCATGTTTCTCGACAACAACAACATCCAAGCCTTATTCCCAAAAGAGTTTGGGGTCGGCTAACATGAATAGTCATGTGATAATGAAGCCACATTTCTCTAATGAGAATAAAATAAATCAGTAGTCGGTTAAAGCTAGTAGCATGAACCTTGTTATCATTTACTCAGGTACCAGAGAATGCCCAAATTACATGTATATATGATATAAAAATATAAATGGCTAGCATATGTATATCAGACCCATTCTATTCAGGACTCAAACCTTCAGTGAGAAAATATAACCTGATTCCCGTACACTCTTGAAATCTGTTCCAGGCTGCTTTTTCCAGTTTTTACCTGCAACAACACTACATATGTGATTTGTGAAGAGCCCATGGAGAAGCACACAAGAAAACAAATAAACAGGCTCAAAATGTAAATATCCATCTAGATCAGCATACTCCATTTTTAAGATATTCTTCAGCAGCGTATACTGCGTCACTCCCTATAGAAATCTTGTCAGCACCAGATCTGAAATACTCAGCTGCAACTTCCAGGCTAGAGTAGTACCTGATAAAGTCATTCATTAGATTTAAAAGGAAATTATGCATATCATAGAGTTCATGATATTCAGATTTAGGCAGGAATCATTTCCTGATGACACAGAAATTGGATGTATCAATAGATACTGATGAATTGTTCCAAAAATGATAACCAGTTCTACCTGCCATTTCCATCAGTAAAGTCTCTAATACCTCCTCCAACAGTTAAAGGCACAAAAACATTCTCTGATGTATACCTCAATACCTACATGAAAATACCCATACACAACTTATTAGCATTCTACGGTTCTACCCACAAAATCTCTGGCACTAAAATAGTTTTGGTTTCTCGACCACATTTCCCAATACCATTTAAACCGTAAACATCATTGAACCAACCTCAAAATATTTAGGATTTAGGTGCGCGCCACCAACAATGATGAATTATGCACGTTATAAAATTTTGGAATATTATAAAATGTATTTGTAGAGTTTATTTTCAAGTTAAAAAAAAAGAAATAATCTTTTTTTCTTTTAAGGCTAGAAAGGCCCTTGAATTTTTTATTCCAACCTAATTTTGAATTCTATCCCTGCATTTAAACCAAGAGCTTACATGTTACAACCTCCTATCACATTTCACGTGGAAGTAGCTGTAGCATCATAGTACATAAAATAAGAATGAAAAAAGACTATGACTGGAATCCAGCTCATAGAAATAATTCCACGGGTCACTAATTACTCAAGAGTGCGCGTGATAACAAACATATCTCTATGAGTTTGCCAACATAAATATAAACAAAACCATAAATTGATTACAGAAAATGAATCGCAAGTAAACTATGAACCAAAAACCTGCAACATTGGTAGATCGCCAAGAGGGAAGTCTCGGAAACCAGTAATATTCAAAAAGCTGATCTGGATATCATATACACAGAAAAAGTGTTTTATCGCACAAGTACATATTGAAACAAGTCAACAACAGATAAAGTGAGGCCTACCTCATCAGCTCCATCCTTGTAATACTGTGCAGCAAGATCTACTGGCTTACCAAGGTTTCTCACCTTAAGTAAAGGCAATAATTAGCAATATCAAAAACACGGGACTCAGCATCAATTACTAATTATTTGAGATCAGTATCCAAGATGATTGTACAACTCTGCACAAGAACTAATTATGAACCAGAAAAACCATGAAATCCGATTCAAGGTTGAACAAAAGTATGAATCAGAAGATTTATAACATAACCACCAATTCTTTTTTCATTGGGGGGCCGCAAAAAAAGTTGGTCTCTTTAACTGTAATAGTTCGTTGTTTGTTTTCCTTACCCCGTTTTCTTTTGTGTGCTCTCTTACATCATACTGGTCACCTTTAGTTACAACAAGATCACCATTGTCATTGCTCCGGACATCAAGACAAGCAATAACCTGCCAAGTTGCAGAAAACATTAATGGTCTTGATTTCTGGTTGGGAGTTTGAAGTGAGCATCATTATCCAATCTGAAAAGTCTGACCGCCAGTACTCACCCTCTTTGCAAGTTTATCAGCCTTTCCTTGGACTAGCTTCTATTATCAAATGAAGATTTCTATTTGTTAGTTTACATAGTTAAAAGCACAGTTTAGTCTTGAGTACAATCATACCTGGGTTCTTTTGGACCCTGGTTTCAAAAACCTATCCAAGATAGAAAGGCCAACATCTGAAGAGAAAAATCATACAAAATCAGTTCCTCTTGTAGGATCCGGTACATCTCTCATACTGCTGAGTTATTACAAGAGCAGGTAGAATCATATGAATTAATGCCTTGGATAGCTAGACTGCTAGACATGATCATTTCTTTGGAAAAGCTCACTTAGATTAACATCTCCCACATGACTGTTTGACCCAATTAGATAGGAATTCATAAAACACATCTGTGTAATGAACTCTTTTATATATGGAGTATTATGTGATATTTTTTAAGCAAGTTCTTTCATTACATACATGTCAAGGACACAAGTATTAACCAAAAATCTCTTCTTAGAAAAGCAAGAAGCTGAGGCTCTCAAAAAGGGGCCATACTTGTTTGGCTTTAAACATCATTTTGTCATAAAAGCACTTCTCTAAGAAGCACCACTTTGGTGCGTTTAGCTTCACAAAAGTGTTTTCAATTTTATAAAAACCGAGAATTGGTAATTGTTCAATTGTCATATAAATCATTTTTATTCTAATAGAAGTAGCAAAATCTTACTTTTGAAATTCCACAACAGATATCTAGCTTGATTTTAAAGTTATCCCAAACGGGCTAGTAAATGGCTTCTTAGTTCTTGCCTACTCCAAAACTCACTTTGCAAGAAAACCCAAACTTTGTTTATATTTCAGTGGATAAGAGGTAATAAGAGCCCCTCCTACGGACATGCATACACAGAAAATATTACAACTATTTTATCTGCACCATTTTCAACTAGTTTATCTTTCAAATTCAGTTTTTCTTCCACTGCTTCTTTTATGTTTCCGAACATGAAAAGGCACATAGATTACCATACCCCCACTCTTCTCAGGATGAAACTGAACAGCATGGACGTTTCCCCTTCTGATAGAAGCTATGAAATTGTCACCATACTTGCAAGTAGATGATACCCACTCTTGATTAGCATCTGACTAAATTAAGTGATCAGATGTCAAGCCCGAATTACTGACAAGAAAAACAGAAGATGATACAATTGAATGTACGAAAGCAAAAACTTTTACAGGCATTGCTCGATATGAATGAACAAAATAGACATGTTGATTTCCAACTTCATCCAAGATCTCTGAGTCTTTTGTTATTTCCAGTGCATCCCATCCAATATGAGGTACTCTGATCCCTGTAGACGAATCAAAGCGCCCAACTACTCCAGGGATTAAACCAAGACCTTTTACTGAAAAGAAGGATGAATTGTTAGCTAGTAAACATTCCATGAAGACAATGAAAATGGAAGTAACGGGTAAGGACATGAAAAAACATTCACTGATATGATAAGCTGCACAATGACATTCACAGTTTTCCGATTCTATCACCTTGTTAGTCACATTTTTGTCCATGTGTGAAAATAATCACTTTTTTCAGAATTGGGATTCTTATAGTACTCCCTAATATTTTAAGAAAAACCCAAACTTATAATGCTACGCCGTAATTTATTGTATAGAATTACTTAACACTATAAACTCATGCACAAAAGCATAATGGAAATGCTTGATGGTGTATGCCCTTCCTATTACAACCATCTTAAAAAAACTACAACAACATCCAAGCCTTATTTCCAAAACTTCTTAAGAAACAATGAGATAAAAATCTAAAACTGTCATCATTAAAGATTATTTCCATATGCATGCAATATATCATGAGAAGCTGATAGGTTGAGATGTTTACTACCGCCATGTCCATTGCATGGTTGATATTGCAAAAACAACTTTCAAATTACTGAACATAGCCGATGAGAAATCGTTTGATGGGCAAACAAAAATGAGAACCCTCAATGGAATTTTTTCCCTTTCTTTTACAGATTGAGATCCTTTGCCCAGCATCAAAGGAAGCCAGGGTTCCTTAAGCATGCACAACCTTCTGGTTTCAGATCAGATGGCCTGTGGTTGATGGGTCAGAGTGTGTGGTCAGTAAAAATATATGAGGCCAAGGATGAGTAAATTTGACCGTCTGATCTGAAACAAGACTGTGTATGAAGGCAGAGTGCCTTGCTTTGGTGTGCACAGGCGCCAAAACCTTCTTTTACCTGGACCATTTTCATCACTTGATTCAAAAAGCAGTTGCAAGCCAAGACAAATGCCCAGAAATGGTCGATCTTGTTCAACATATCTGGAGAGTGCTTCAGCCATTCTGCAGGGCACAGTTTTGCATAAATAGCACGGACCATTAAAAGTACATGACAACAAACCCTAATAAATAATGAACCAAATCACTACATGTATGTACATCCCAGCATATCTGCCAACTTATCATTGGGATTTTGGAATACAACCTACTAGGGACTTACCCATTCTTGCTTAGCACATCCATAGCAGCAGCAAAGGCACCTACTCCAGGGAAAATTAGACATTTTGCATTGATAATGTCCTCAGGTGTTTGTACCTAAAATAATGCATTCATGCAGAACACTGTGTTTTACAAAACGAGCGAATAAAGCACATGAATCTTCCTACAGTCATATAACTTTCAAAATGAATCATCAATCATCCTTTTGTTTGCAAAATGTAAGGCCCTTCCTTCCTCCTTTGAAATAGAACAGTTCAGTACAAGTTTTTCTCTTTTTTCTCTTCGGATGGGTAAGACGTGTTGAGCAAAGCAAAACACCAAAATGAATTGAAAGGAAAACTTACATCTTTAATATCAAAACCAAGGAATTGAATTGCATTCCTTAAACTTCGCACATTTCCGGCACCATAGTCGAGCAGAGTAACCACTTTACATATTGGAATTAAAATAGTAAAAGATTAGGAGTCATTGCAATCTTCAAAGAAGCTCAATAGTCATTTCTAAAGAGGAAGAGGACAACTGGACAAGTCTCCAGTGCCGAGAAAGATAAAAAGATTCTTAAGGGAAATACGTTTAAGAGATTGAGCATAGATACCCGAATTCCTGTCACTAGAAGAAGAGCCGCGAACCGAAAAGCTTCTGGGAGCTTTGAATTTCAGACCGTTACTGTTAAACTTATTGTGCAGCAACATTTGAGTTTGGGAATAAGAACCGTAGGATGAAGAAGAAGATGAGCTTCCAAAGGCTCGGAGCGGTGAAGCGCCACTAAATGTCGCCGCCTCCATATTGCCACCGCAGTTTCAACTCGGCGTCACTCCGTCACCTCCTCCGTCGGTCGTCAAAACTAGAGAAGCTGCAGGCAATCAAGCATCTATGGGCCAAAGACACACAGAGAGTAGCTCATGTCGCGATCAATTAAGTTAGCCCAAATAGAACCAATTAAATTTGAGCCCAAACATTTGCTATATCTAAATCTAAAAAATTATAAGGGTGAATGAAGGTAAGGTTATTTTGGACTTGAAAAATGTGTTAGTGTAACCACATGCTAAAATGAACTTGAAACGTATGCATAAACTATTGTACTCTAATCACTTCAACTCTTTTTATACCATAAATATCCCCAACTTTCCGTTACTTAACTATAACTCCGGCTACACTCCGTAAAACTCTCACCGGCTTCTTTAATTATCTCCGTTCGAAGGCGTTATACTCCGTATTAAAGTTTAGATTTAGAAGAGTGGATAGCCATCCATAGTCTAATGTTGGCCCATACCTTTTATTAATTTTTAATTCGTTTTTTAGAACCAAGTTCTTAATTAATGCATGGTATTGGTTGAATATAGTTTAAATATAAAATCTTCTCATTATCGATCCAACGAGCATTTTCTAAACTTAGGTACAGATTGAAAAGATGATGTTGCGTACTTTCTTACGGAGTATAAATGTCCGTTTGGTGATCCTGTTTTCCGACTTGTCAAGCTTTTCAATCAGCTTTTTCATCAAGAGTCCATTTGGTAACTTTGAAATTGGCTGAAGTGACTTATTCTGCTGAAATTTAAGAAGTTCTAGCTGAAGTGACTCTATTGACTGATAATGCTGATTTATGAGAAGATTATATTTAAAATATTTTTTATTAAAAAATAAATAAAAAATTATATGAAAAACATCTAAAATGATCCTCCACATAACTTAAGCCAATACAACCAAAAACTAACTTCAACCTTACTTTTTCTTGTTATTACACACTTCATCGCGCGAAATCAAAAGTTATGTGTTTGGTGAAAAAATTGACTGATAAGCCCGACCAGCATGGTAAACGGGCTCGTAACATTTTATTTCGCGCGTTGAATTGTTTAATAATAGGAAAAAATAAGGTTGTAGTTACTTTTATGGCTGTATTGGCTAAAGTTACTGTAAATTATCATTGTCGCTATTTTTTCAAATAATTTTTTCTTAATTCTGTTATTAAAAAATATTTAAATATAATTCTTTCATAAATCAAAATAGTCAGTCAATCTATCCATTTCACCCAGAACTTCACAAGTTTCCGCAGATTCAGTCAATTTCAGTGTTACCAAACGGGCTCTAAGTGTGTAATGTATTAATTTAAACTATGTGATATAATTGTTTAACATTAATCTTAGTTAGCCATCAAATAGAGATCAGATCTACTTTTAAATATAATGACACACTTGGCTTACTCTCTGGATTTGAGCACTTGTGTTTTCCTAAAAAGTTCTTCTATACGCATGTAATTATACCTATTTTTATTATAGGATTGACCAATTATTGTCAATTTCCACACATTATTGTTTCATTAAATAGTACGGAGTATAAGTGAGTATGTGACATAGGTGGTGTTTGTGCGTGGTTAATGGTGTTTTTAACGACAGTTATGCTGCCATCGCAAAAAAAAAAAATTGCTATATATGCAGTCTATGTGCACTTTTCTTGTAGTGTCAGTTATGCATCACTAAATATTTATAGTAATATTTTTATTTTTGTACGCGATTATTTAACTCCTTGAGCTCTCGTAGTGACATCAATTTTGTAACAATATTTATGTTTAGGTGCTAAGTAAGCTTAAGTTATACAACCTGGTGACAACTACCCTTCATCATATGAGACGTAGTCACACAGTGGCTGGGAACTTTGTTTTTTTAGTCTTCATCACTTAGCTTGGTTAATATATATAATGATACAGAGTATATTTGTAACACCTCAAAAACCGGTCTGGCCGGAATGATATACAATTAGCTTACTACAACGTACTTTAAAATTGTATTAAAATGATATTGTGATAGTAGCGGTTTTAATTTTTAAAAAAATGAATTTGACTCGAACTAAATTCAATTATTTTGATAAATGCTTATGATGAACTAAATCTTAAGATTTAATTACCAAGTTGACTTAGCAACTAAAAGTGTACAAAGATAAAAGAAAACGTAAATTGTATTTTAAAACTAAAGAGAACCCCTGCTCACATTCTTAATTACATCTACGGCTAACAAGTAAGTGTAAGATCAAATAATAATACTATGTACATATGGACACATGGCACAAAGCTATCCCAAAGATGTACATTTGGCAAACAAAATTAAATGAAGGTTATGCATGATAATATTTGTGACTTCATACAAGGAAGCCACGTAGATAAGATTATAATACTAGGACAAAAATGATAGTTTTTTTTCCCAATAATAATACGTATGTCTAAGAGCCATGCATGCTCAAACAAAAGAAAATAAGACAAATTGAAGAGAGAATACAAGAATACTAGCTAGGCTCCACCTCCACTCGGGGCAACTCCTGCAGTAGCAAAAACAACACTCTGGCTTATTATTTATAATAATATAATAATATTATATACAAATAAATCAAAATAAACTAGCTATAGAATGCTACAAACAATTCACCCTTGTGAATTGTGATACTTGGCAAGCTGCATGGTATAGGTGCATGCGACGTGCCACTCGTCCTAAATGTAGACAAACAATACAAATTAAAGAGGATCATAATATGTCTATATATATATATAAATTATAATAAGAATAAAATAATATGGAGTAAATAAGTAAATTGGCAACTATATTTAGTTCCAGATACTCCTTAATAATTTATATAAAGGCATTCTATATATGAAAGCTAGTGAGTAGTCTGAGCCTATTACTACGTATAAAACTCATCTAGAGAAGCCAACTCAAAATAGAGAAGCTGATATCATGCGTGCTACAAGTTGGAGTATTCAATTTTTGATTGGTGATCCTATATTAAGGTCTGTACTATAATACGACATTTATTAAGTGCAATTATCTTTATTATATTCAAAACAAAATGATATTCATAGCTATTCTAAATCATAAGGTCTGTATGATTAGTGATTACTATTCTAAATAATACCGTTACATTTAACTATGACAAGGACAAATGATTTTGTTAAGAAATGAATGTATGACTCACACGTGCACCTAGCTGTGCATGCAAACTATATTTGTGGTATGCGTATCACTGTTATTCTAATAATTATTATTATAAGAATATTATATTTTCCATTAGTGTGAAATTTTATGAAATATTTTATGAAAGAGCCTTACTCCGGGATTTAGATGATAGTTTTGGGTACCCACGTTTACATGTTTTGGAAGCAGATTATTTGATTTCTAATTGGGTAATTTTGTTTCCCCACGAATTGAGTACGAGTTGGTTTTACTGACTACGACTCCCACGCTGAGTTCGGGTTGTTTCAGTTTCGGCTGGACGATTCGTTCTCCCACGCTGAGTTCGGGTTGTTTCAGTTTCGGCTGGACGATTCGTTCTCCCACGCTGAGTTCGGGTTGTTTCAGTTTCGGCTGGACGATTCGTTCTCCCACGTTGAGTTCGGGTTGTTTCGACAATTCGTTCTCCCACGGTGTGCTAGCATACGACCCTGGCCAAGGTCCCACGATCTTTGTATCCTTAGCTAGCGTCTAGTCCTAAGAGTAAAGGCTGAAATAAATGAATAAAGAATGAAGTGTTCAGAAAGCTGAATTATTTGCTTATAAACTTGAAGCAAGAATTATGTGTGATTATTCCATTATTGGATATACGTTTTCAGCTAAATGATTATTCATATGTGAAATTATGGACATGTCACGAAAGAACCCGCATTAAAGGAAATGTTGGGCAAAGATTATATGGAATTTTTATACGTATTTTTGAAATATGAAATTCTGAGAATTGCTCGTGATTCATGTTACATCTTTCCAAGTGATAAATGATATTATGTGAAATAATGGTATTAATTTTAATTCGAATTCTATGATGATAATGTGTAATATGCTTTATTCATATGTTTTAATTATGTAAATTGACTATAATGATATTAATGTTTATTTGTCGTATAATTGAGTAGGAAATATAGATACATGTTTGTTATTACATGTTATATTATAGTACCACTCAGCAATTCATTGCTGAGCGTGTAGTTTTTCTACACGTAGGTGAATAAGAGATTCAAGGGGAGCCTCAGGACAAGGAGACATCTAAACAGGACTGCATTGCACATGTTTCATTTTACTGCTATATTTTAAATAAGTTGGTACTACCAACACTTTTTTTTAAAATTAAGTATGCTATGTAACAATTAGGGTTTTATTTTAAGTTGTTATCTATTGGTAAATTGTCTTTTATTTTCAGACTACCATTGAATCAAAATTATATAAATTTTACTTTTTATACGGAAAACATTTTCTAAAGTAGCATTACTGATATACTTTTATTAAAAGATAAACGACAGTGACATCTGTCCCGAACCGGTCAGACCGGGCGGGGTGGGTGTTACAATATTTTATCACAGAGTATGCTTTAATTTTGTTTTCGTCTACCGGCAAAAACTGGTTGTTGTATTTTTTGCCACGATTATGCTCTTTTTGATCAATGTATTTATATGCCTACTCATTTTTATTTCAAAAATATGATACCTAAATTTACTTTTAAATTTTCCGAAGTGCATGTATACATAATTCAACGGATTAAAGTGTAAAAAAGGTCAATCTAGAAAATATGTTAATATTTACATTACATATATCATATTGGGCATCAACTCAATCGCGCATCGCGCGCAGAAAAACTAGTACAATTATAAAAGTTAGAAAAACTGCAAGTTTTGTGGTTCATCCATATATATCCGTAGTATATGAAGCACATTAATATGCTCACTAAAGAGCACGTTGATGTGATTAATGATTGGAATTTTCAAAATATAAATCATAAATTAATCTTTATCATTCATCACACCAACGTGCTCTTTAGCGAGCACGCTAGTATCCTCAGCGAGCACGCTAACTTGCTCCATATATTTTCTTTCATATTACATTGAGACACTTTGATAACTTGAAGAATTGCCAACACTCCAATATGGTTTCAAGTATAAATGATAAGAAAATTTTGATTATTGTTACTTTTTGTTACTATTGTTACTTAAAATTACACTCATAGACGCGTTTAAAGATGAGTTCATGGATCGATTCACAAGTGAGAACATACTTATTTTCATGGTAAATTTTCAATTCATTTATCACCATCTTCAATGTTAACCATTGCCGATCATTCTTTAAAATTATACACTTAGGAAATTCTATAATAAGCTATTGCTTCAATAGTAATTAATGAAAAATTGTTTGATATTACTTCCATGTTTCAGTTCATATGAATTCAAAATTTGGTTCCAATCAAAATTTTCTATTATCAGCTGTCAGTAACGTGTATTATCACTAACAAGTTAAAGTGAGATTTTAATTGGAATGGTGAGTTGTTTTAGATAAATACTAATGTTTGTTTTGTTTACAAAGGACTACGTCCCATTTTTTTCCATTTTAGGAAAGAAATAAACATTACTCATTATTTCACTAATTATCATTATTCAAATATATTCGTACATCACTTCTTTGTTTACAATGTTTTCCTAATGAGTAAGAAGCATGTCAGACTCAAACGATATATTTATTTCATGATGGACTGAATGAGAACATTTATTAGAGGGATATTTGTCCTCATCATTTAGAGGCAAGAACACATCATTTTTTGGCTTGAGAATATGATGGAATAAAACAAAATGACTGATTAAACTATTTGTGTTTATTTGTTATGAAGCAACAATCAGTCCATGCTTCAAAATTATATTCGCCTTATGATTGATTTCAGGTTTCTTTTGTATCTCATCAGAAAGATCTTTTTGGGTTCTAAAACTCATATCATTTAGGAGTAAAATAGCTCTTTTTCAAAATATCACTTCCAAACGTTTTATAGCTCGTTGGAAAGATCCTATTAAGTTCTAAGACCCTTACAATTTTTGACGTGATTTTCACCATGAATAAGGCTACGTAAATCCGACCCCCTTACCCCACTGCAGGTGTGAACCATTGCGACACTCTATAATCTTGTTGATGTTTGTTGTACCCTACCAAAATGAATGTTTTGTTTCCATTCTATGAAAGAAATAAATATAGCATTTTCAAAGATAATAGCGCTTCATATATTGACTTCATTCTTGAGGATTTCATACATATGGAAGCAAGCATGGGCAGGGCTATCATCTTCTATGTCACACAAAATCCAACCAGGAAACTTGATGTTTCATTAATATTAATATTTAACTTTTTAAAGGAGCACCCCAAAATCCCAAATAACTTGAACAGAATAAATTTAATCAACCAACTGAACCAACAAATATACAAGTCAAGGATTGATGAAAAATATGAATTATATCATTATATGAATTATAGATATCTTGTTCTTGTCGTTAGAGGGAAAGCTAAATGTATATACAACACTGATGTATAAACACGAAAAATGTATATCTGAGAATATGAGCGCACAAGGCTGGTCTGAGAAAGGGGTGTCATCTCTTCTTGTTCTTGGCAGATGATTTCTTATTGCTAGTGGAGTTCTTTTTTGACTTCTTGAATCCTGATCCAGTCTCCTGCAATTAAAGAACCCACCATTAGGTGCACCATTTTGATAATGGATGTAAATTTTTTGTGTTGTGTTGAGGCACAGCCATCTATGGTTAAATACACGACATCAATCACATCATTACTACAACTACTACTAAATTTAGCATTCCAGAAGACTAATTTATACTTCGTATTAACTAATAGACCTAAAACAACAATGTCCATCAAGTAGATTACTAACTGTTCTCAAATGTACAAGTTCTGCAGTTTGTGTCCTTTGAATTAGTTGAATCAAACAAGCTAAGAATGAGCAAGTCCATCCAATGTCTTATCTCAATTCGGAAAACCATGAAAACAAAGCACCTATGTGCCATGTTAATTACTATTAGACTGTTGCCGACTCTTGAGGAGCTACTTAGGGGGTGTTTGGATCTACTTTTAAAATTGCTTCTTCTCCTAAAGAAGATATTGGAGTGTTTGGGTGAAAGTGCAGAAGTACTTCTGGGTGCTCCAAATTGCTCCTAGGAGCAGTTTTTTAGAAGTTGGGGGACACCAACTTCTGAAAAACTAATTCTTATTCTACTTCTGCTTTTAAAAAAGAAGCAGAAGCAGAAGCAGAAGCATAATCAATTCCAAACACCTCCTTAATAAAATGTTGGCATGGAAAATAAATAACAATCTGTGCATTGTGCATTTTTAAGAAAGTCTAGGGTGACATGAAAATTTGGCACTAAAAGGTGACATTCTTAAGTGTCACATACTCATTGAGTGATGATCATATGTTTAACTTTTTTTGCACCTAATGAATATGTGACACAAAAATTCCTTAGGGAATTTTTGTGAATACTAAAATAGCATATATATTATACTCTGTCATAATGCATAGAAGCTTACCTTTCTATAATGTATGTAAGCACTCCGACCACTCATCTCTTGCCCATTTCTTGTTACATAGACCTGGTAAACCGTTTGAAAATTGGGGTCAATTGTATGTTTCATCAACAGTTGATAAACAGAAGAACTAGATGCACTCATGCACCATTGGTTTCAAGAGTGTTGAAAGAATAAGGTAAAAAGAAATTAAGCACAAACTACTTTTGACATCAATGTGTAACGAATAACCTGAACTCAAGGAGAAAATGTGGATAGCAAAGATCAGAACTTTAATAAATTTATGGTGAGAAGTAATAATATATTTACTCTTTTCCCATCTGAAGATGTGAGCCACTGCCCAGCTGATTTACCAACAGCATGCACCCTTCTCTTGCCAGCATCCTTTGGAGCCCCATCACAAACTTTAGGGTCTACCCACCCTGTAGGCACTTCAGATGTCTTCTTCGAATTATTTTTCTTTCTTTGTTTTGTAGAGCTTTTGTCAGCTGCAACCTTGTTGGCTCCACTCTGGGAGCCTCCTCTGGGGGAAAATTGCCCTCTGAAAAGAAATCAGGAAAGTAATAGTTACAAACAAGTGCTGGAAAGACGTGCATGTTGACAGACTAGAAAGGCATAAAAATGAACATATACATGTAATCAATTGATCCATCACTCTGTTTGATCCCTTGGTTGTTCTTGGCATCCAAAGGGAAGAAGTGAGGCAACCTCTCACGAACTAACTTTTGGATACTTAAATCCTCATGGAAATAATAGCTATGAGCAGGCACAGAAGGACCATCAGGCCTTTGTTGCATGCTGTTCTCAGCAAGAACGCTGTTTGGGTGAATATCTTCATTTGTATTCTGATTGGCATTCCTGTGCTTCAGAGAACTAAAATATTCTTCGCAAACCTCATCGAAGGCAGGTGTAGAGATATTGGAGGTTTTGTCTGTCAAAAAACCCTTCCATAGTTCTTCAGACTCGGAAACCTCATGAGATGCTTTAAATTTCATCTTTTTACTTGAAACTGTACTTTTTTCAACAGGTGGCTCTGCTTTTACGTCTTTCTTCAGATGTTCACTTGGGGATGGATCGTCTGAATCTAAATCAATTAACTGAAAACTTCTTATAGGACTAATATTTGACTTAGAGAAGGCGGATTTATCGTTACTTATTTCCATAGGTCGACATGCAGAAGGGTCTTTATCCGGATTTTTCCCTTTCAAAGCACATTGAGTGGTTGTTTGCATGGAAAAATTCCGACGATGGTGTAATGGGAGTTTTGAGTTGCTGCTAACAGATCTTCGGAATTTTGAAGGACCTGATAATAAAAGTAAAAAAATTAGATAGGGGCAGGAAAACAATCATTTATTGGAATAAAAAGAAAGTGACAAAGTTAGCAGCTACTCCATATTAATTACATCAAAATGCATTCATCAAATTGACCAGAATTTGCAGTCACTGTTGAAAACCTAACCAATCACTCAAATGTTCCAGACTTTCACAAGAAAACTAAAAATGCAAGGTCAGATGATATCATAATCAAACCAGTACAGTTCAAAAAAGAAATATGTTTACAATAATAAGTAGCACAAATTGAGCCCGTGCCCACATGGCATCTTGCAAAAAATGTTAGTGAGAGTATCACATCCTTCTAACAATTAGATTTCAATACCAAGTTTGAACAAGGGGAATGAAGATCTCAAAGCACATCGAACTGGTAATGATGGACACATTAGCTTGCACTATCTAGATTATAAAAAATGCTAGACACACATATGTCACATGTGTTGGGACGTTAATTAATGCTGTTAGTTAAACACAGGTTCTGTGAAAAAAGATAGTGTGTAGTCAATGTAAGTGTAGTTTGGTAACAGCAGTTCACTTCTTTCAGTGTTGGATCAATTCGTTGTTGCTAAGTTGTTCTAGCTAATCATACTTCAATTCCATTCCAAAGTTGGTGTAACATATAAAATATCCCATCCAGCAGGGGTGTAGACAGGGAGGGGCTGGAGGGGGCCACGGCCCCTACAAGAAAAATATTTCTTAAGTATATATTATGTATAAATACATTTAATCTATTGAAAACATATTGATATTTTAAACTTTGGTCCCTGCAATGGAAATTTTTTAAGGACCGGCCCCAATAACTATAGACTTCTGGCTCCGCCACTGCCATCCAGTACAACAAGCTACACACACTTCCTTTATTTCTTATCATTTTCATGTCGAAAACTCATTGAGCGTATCCATAAGCTTCTACGGACAAAAGCTTCTCACCAGGAGTTGACAAAAAGTTCTTACAAAAAATAGTGTAAAAAATGCTTAAAAAATTAAAATGCCAAAGAATTCTAAGAAAAGCTTGAAATGCTTTTACCTGCTGGCCGGTCTTCCTCGGAAGAGAAATCTTCAATCTCGTCCTCTACATCACACCACGTCCCCTCCTTGATGTCCCAGTTTTCGACCCCTGAAGTCGGTTTGTTGGAGGTGGGTCCTCGCCGGAGGCGCTTTAGAGTCAATGGTGGTTCCGTGCACTTCGGTTCAATACTCGGAACAGGGGACTCAAAATCATCGTCATCATCATCCTCAATTGTCCGGAGGTTCTGAGTGGGCAGAAATCTTTTAGTATGTTTAGGTGACGGTTTGGGCGAGGGCAGGGGTGACGGAGTACGTATAGGCTGCGAATCAAGCTCAAAATCGAGCCCTAGAGAAAAAGATGGAGCTTCAAATTCCGCCATGAGAAGCGCCGAAGCTAGAGCTAGAGGGTTTGGATGTGAAATGAAAGAATTTAACGAGATATTAGGCTGTGTTAATTTGGGGAATTGCGCCAAAAATTGGATGTGAAATGCAAGAAAAAATTGGCGCCTGGAAATGAGTGAGGCCAGAGGGAAAATTTTCGCAGACCGGAGTAGACCGGCCGTAATCCGTATGCAGGGCGCTGCGTACAGAGGAAGTTTTGGTCTAATTTAGGGTCTGTTTGCAAATTGCAACCCATTAAAAAAAAGTGCTTTTAACTTTTTTTTAAAGAAAAAACACTTATTTTATCAAACACTACCAATTTTTACTTTCTCGGCTTCTATGTAGAATTTACTTTTTACTTTTTCTATCACACAAAAAGCACTTATTTTAACAAACACTACCAACTTTTACTACTAATCACTTTTTCCCCAAAAGTGCTTTTATTTAAGCACAAGTGGTTGCAAACAAAGCCTTAATCTATTTAATCCTCATCTGATTCAATTTGTGTAAGATATGATCTAGTGTTTTTTATATAGAATATGATCTAATTAAAAACTACCTTCCCGATTAAATTTTTATCTGAAATTTGGTATGGGTAAACTAGACTTAATGAAGAATATGCTCAAAAAATTTCATCCAAAAATTCTACCGGGAACCTCTCCAAATAACGACGGCCGGACAGAGTCTCCTATAAAAGGAGTGATTTGCACTTTTTGGATTAGTTCGAGGGCTTATTTGCCCGTGTTCCCTTAAAAAAAAGATTAAGAAAACAGAGTAATCGAGTGTGTGTGCTTCTGGTTTCTGGGATTGAGAGGAATAGAAGATTAACATTTAGATAATATATTAACTTTTTAATAATTGAACATATACTCTGTACATCAATATTTTTACCTGTGTCGTGCACGATTAAAGATTTACTCATAATAAGCTCACCTTCAATTCAATGCTTCCAGGCATAACACAGAAAAGATGAGAGGGTGTGCGCCAACCCTAGTGACGTAGAGATCCAAGAAGGATCAGTTCAAATTAATCTTTTCATTAGCTTTGTCCCATTAACTTTCATCTTCTCGGTCCGATGGAAATTCAAACTATCTGAGGTGGCATCGACGTTCAGAGATTCTTGTAGAGGTATCAATTGGATTGCTATTCTCTTCTGGTTGTGTTGATTTTATTATATGGCGGTTCTTTCCCGGACACTGAAGCTCCGGGGTGGTTTCTCTCGATGTGGGGAGTTTTGTTGGTGTCTGTGTCTCAGCTAGCTTCGTCTGGTCATGGGTTTCTATCTGCTTTCTTCCAGAGTGCGTAGACATTGGTATAGCCCGTCCTCCTCCAGAACTACCTTCGTGCCATGAATAGTTTTGTGGAAAGACTTCATTTCAATTTTATTTTTCCTTTAATAGTAATTGTTTTTATTTTAGTTTCAGTAATTTGATTTGGAAACTTGATAGGCAGTATTTCAGTCCCGATTGTTTAGGCTTTAAATTGTCTGTTTCGTGTCTAGTGAATCAGGTTGCTTTGTATGTGGTAGCTGATTCTATGTCTATTCCCAGGGCTCACAATCGGATCTGTCATAAGTGTCTGGATGTTATCTTATATATTTTCTTGATTTTATTATAAAAGCGGATCCTTCATATTAAAAAAAACAACAACTTCCTAATAAGCTAATTTAATTATGTATGTCTATCTCACTTATGCTTGTATAGTGATTATATAACTCCATAATAAGCTAATTAACTCCAAATTTTTCTCATGAAAACTTTTAGTAGATTTATCATATTCTAATCTAATACACATGGAGTTCCAAATTTTACCAAGGACTCTATTAAAAACGTTTTTAATTGGATTGGGTTTTTTGTCTGATTTGTCTGTTCTAATCGAATTTGGTCTGATTTGTATGATCTAACTAGTCAGTTCATATTATCTGAGCATCTTTTTAACTGTTTTTGAACAAATTTACATCATCCGGCTAACAGTTCAGATGCAATATATAAAAATGTAGCTCTAGACAATAGTCTCTAGTTCAGACAAAGTCTTTAATAATTAGACATATACTACCTCCGTCCCTATATAAACTTCCAAGTAAATAAAATTTACATATACTATCGCGGGTTACGAAGTTTGACCCGCGATAAAGTTAAATGATCCTTGTGAAAAATCGGATTATTTTTAGTAAATAAAATTTACATATTCAGAAACTACATTAAAACCGCTACAAAACCCGCAAAAAATAATTCAATAATTTCTAATTTTTGATATATAAAGTAAGAGTTTAAGTGTGATTTAAGTTGACCCTCGAAAAGCGAAATGGAAGATTATTTAGGGACGGAGGGAGTACTACATATCGTACAAAAATATGATATTTTATTAATTGAATAAAGAGGTCTATTCATTAAATGAGTATGACCTCACGACCTCTTCCTATAAAGGGGTTAACTATGTTGTACGACCTCACGACCTCTTCGTATAAAGGGGTTAACTATGGCAGCAACTATGACAGCAACTGAAAGTTTCTCTGAGTTATTCATAATTCATGAGCATCATCCAAGCCTTTCCAGAGAATAAATTAAAAGCTTTTAGAATGACTTTATGGTGCATATGGAAGAAGAGGAATAAGATGTGCTGGGAAGGCATCCGAGAGACCACGCACCAGGTTATCTCCCGTCGGAGTGAATTGCTGTGTTCCTGGGAAAGAGCTAGGATTAACACTCAGAAGTTGTTGACCAGCAGCTTGGTTCAAGTCCGGTGGCAGCCCCCTCCTCGTAACTTCTTGAAGTGTAATGTCGATGCCGCTCTCTTTGCAAATGAGAAGCGAGTTGGATTCGGGGCATGTGTTCCGGATTATCGTGGGCAGTTTTATATGGCTAAATCAGGTATATGTACATCGGATTTGTGTCTAGCTGAGGCGGAAGCATGGAGCCTTAGAGAAGCTATTAAATGGATGGCTAGTACTCGGTACAAGCATGTTCCGTTTGAATCTAATTGTTAGCAACTTGTAGAAGATGTGTGCTGCCTTAACCGTCCTAATCTAACCGAATATGGGTCATTGGTGGAGGATTGCAAAATACTTTTAGCTTCAAATAGTAACTTCAGAGTTGTTTTTACTAAACGACAAGTGAATAGTAGCGCTCATGTCCTGGCTAAGGTGGCTGCTAATCACGCTCCTAGCAGAATTTTCACTTTTGTTCCACATTGTATCCTAAAAGATGAAATGAATTGAGTTTTTTGTCAAAAAAAATGATGTACAATTAGTTTATGTACATGATTATACATAGGTTAATAAAGTTCAATATTAGTTTGTACAAATAAAAAATGCAACGTTTATCGAAATTGTTCAATATAGGATTAGACATACACATGGGCGTAGCTAGGGAGGCCAACCTAGATCTCAACCCACCCCAAATTTAAAAAATGTCTATATTTTTAGTGTAAAAAAATCAATGTACAATTTTTTTCAAAAATATTTTTTTGTATCGGTACAATCCAATCCAGTGTCCTGACTATGCCCCTAGATCTTTTTAGTACCGCTAAAAGATCTTATTAGTCTTTGTACACCTTTATGAGGTGGGACCCTTCCCCGGACCTTCGCCTTGTGGGTCACCAGGCTGCCCTTTCTTGATCATGAAAGTAGAAAACTCAATATTCTCTTCAATGGTGTAAAGAAAAAACAATGTTTCCCATTTAGTCTAGGACTCTAGAATGGCAATAGATTTACACTTCATAAGATTTATCTACAAGTAGCCATTTAATGATCCTGGGTGTATGATAACATAGTAACATGCAATTTGTACTCACTTCCGTAGTAGACGAAAACATCTTAAGATTCTTAAGCACAATTTCCCCTGGTATCCAGTTTCACGCTACAAAATCAGAGCCACTGAATGATCATAGTAGAGTGACGAAGGTTACATATACAAATAACACAAATCATTTTTTTACACAATAATGTAACACGACCTACAAATCTACAATTAGGGGTGGACCGGTTACGGTTCGGGCCCGGTTCGGGCCTGGGCCCGGCCGGGCCTTGGTTCAGAAAAATGAGGCCCGAGCCCGAACCGGTGGTGGGCGGTTCCGGGCCAGACCGGGCCGGGCCGGGCCACCCGGATTTTTAATTTTTTTTTCTTCTTCTCTTATTTAACCCCCTACCCCTCCCTCTCCACCCCAAACCACCTCAAATGGCCATAAATACCTAATCCAACCCAAAACTTGAAAAAAATTCCAAAAAAAAAAAAAACCGGCCCGAACCGGGCCCGGTCCGGCCGGTTCACTAAACTGGAGGCCCGGGCCCGGACCGCTTTACCACCGGGCCGGGAGGCCCGAACCGGGCACGAACCGGTTCACCGGGCCGGGCCGGGAGGCCCGAACCGGGCACGAACCGGTTCACCGGGCCGGGCCGGGCCCGCACAGTAGCGGGCCGGTCCGGTTGGCCCGGCCTGAGTCCATCCCTACCTACAATCATTCATCAAAGAATGGGATACATCAAAGCAAGCAACACAAAGTTTAGTCCAAAACCAACAAGCTCAACATGGATTTCTAGAAATCGCACGTGATCAAATTTCAATATATATGACAAGAGATGAAAGGAAAAAGAAGATCTAGACTGTTACTACGTAGTTAGGAATTCTTTCTTAGTCCAGTCCTTCGCTGGGAACTTCTTGTGTAAGATTGTCAAAATACATTGGGTACTACAAATGCCTGAGATGTACATAACAAAACTGAGGCACAGCTGACATCGATTAAGACACTCACCGCGTCACCCATATTCATTTCGAAATCTGGTTTGAATTTGAACCATAAACTGAGCCGTTTTTTGTAATGAAAAAGACAAATTTGAGCTTAAAGAGGATAAATCTGAATGCCTTAAAGAGACAAAAAACATAGGAATCAAGTCACAAGACTCGCAACTGCTCTTCAGGTTTGTCTTTGCGTATTCTCCCTTCTCTTCTTTATTCTTTTCTTCTTTCTCCATTTCTGTATCTGTATTTATATTTTTAGTTAAGTAATTTTAATTATTCATGCTTCATGTATCAGACAGTAGTGCTAAGTAATTTTAATTATTTGTGCTATCTGCTAAGTGCACTACATTGTCTTCTTCATTTCTTTCTTCCTATTTCTTTTGTGCACTTTGCAGTATTTGATTTTACTATATATTTTTCTTTTGTTGCAGTTTTATGTGGTATAAATTCAATTTTTTTCTACCCAGAATCTACTACTGGCAAAACAGTTAGAGCTGAAAGTAAGAGTACCCAAATTTTCAATGCAACTAATTATCACAAAAGATATATGGATGATTTATTTCTTGAAGTAGATTAATATATTAGGAAATAGATTGTGAATTGATGTCATAAATTAGTAACTGATACTCCATTTGTCGTATTTTGTAAGATACAAGTATTGTTAGCCCACGGTATAAGAAGTCTTTCCTAATTTTAACTCAACTAACTTTTTGTTTTCTTACATGATCCTTTTATCAATCATTTCAATGTTTTACTTTTTGTGGACCTATATTACTTTTTCTTCCATTTAAAAAGGTACAATTTCAAAAGAACAGCAATCTCCTATATTTTCTCAAAATCTGTGCAAAACTCAAATGTATCTTATATTTTAGAAAAAAGGGGATATAAGTATATAATATAGTTCGTAATATAATATGAAGCATATTTAAATATTATATCTGGGGAGCTGCCATCATAGTCACTGACTCACCTAGGAAACTAGGCAGTCCACTAAACACCAACCAACACGGCAACACCTAATGGAAAGAGAGCAATACTTACTTCTCAGTTATGCAATTTTTTGGCTCGGCATGGGACGATAACAACATGCCTTACACTTGCTTAAGAGGCTACATGTCTTTAATATGGGAGCAAAGGTGTTCTACAAACATGTCTCTGATACATGTTCCATTGATAAGACGGACCTCTGAGCTTCATCTCTCTTTCCCCTCCATAGCAAAACTTGTTCATCCTTGACCAAGATTGGGACGCAAGGTACCAAATCCTGCACTCAAGATATATGGATCTGCAAAAATGTACTTCCTTGATCTTTGAAAACAGTTTAGTGGAAAAGAGGCACACATGTTCCTTTTTGTCCTCTCCCAAAAATGCGAACCCTTTCCTAAACGTAATTTCACTAACTTTATGTTTTCCCACTTTATCCTTGTACTTATCATTTTACCTTTTACTTTTTGTAAGCTCATACAACTTTTTCTTCCTCTTAGGAGGCTGCAGTTGTAAATAAAACTCTCCTTTATTTCCTTAAAAGCATGCCAAATGGCCCAAACCCTAATGTATCTTACAGTATGGGAGGCAAAGATTATCTATTAAGGATCTTGAACTTATCCAAACAAAAGTGAAAATCCATACCCGTAACTTAACACTAATCCTCTTGCAGTCACTTGTTCCCACACGGGAACAGTCTAACCTTACTAGTTCTTCTGTTTGAAACGCCACCCTGACTTTCTCCACCACATTTACATAGACACCATTTCTAGCTACAGAGCAGAAAAATATGCAGCGGATCAGCTACTAATTGCTGAGTGAATAAAAGTCTACCTTATTTAGATGCAATAGAAAGAGCTAAAGCAGAATGTAGGAGTATGGCCAAGTCACCAGAGAAAAAGTGGCTTACTAAGTTTAGTTAGGGGAGGATAACTAAGCCCTTTGCTTCTCATTTCCTTCGTTTCTTCAAATGTCAAGCCGTCAGCAACATTCTTCACTAGCTTTGGATAAATTGGTGCATATGGCTTCCACAGCATCAATGGGATGATTGGTCTGTTTTTTGGATCATAGCCCCGACCACGGAATAGAAGTAGCACATTTATGTGGCGATAAATAATCTGGCCACCTGATTTGTCCTGAGGAAATGTGATCTTTATTATCAATGGTCAAAATGAAATACTTGTTAGTGTTAACGCTTGTCCAAAGCGATGAGAGGTGCAGTCCACTGCAGGCTTCATACGCGAGTTTGTACTTTTTGAATTTGTCCAATATTGTATGACTTAATATGCTCACAAAATGGTGGCTCATGCCAATGCTGAAATTGATATGGCTGTTGTGGAGGCTTAATAAGATTGAATTGTTACTTAACAAGCTCTGATGTGACTAGGAGTTCAATATTAAAATATAAGGAGTTTATGTTGGAGGAGCAGGTGAGTTTTTTTGTATTTCATTATTGTTAGATGACTCAATAGGACTACAAGACGGTAGAGCATACCAATTTTGATGTGTGGGTACTTGTTGTTGAGGTTTAAAATGCCCAAAGTGCCCTAAACAGAGTGAAAACGTTTTGGAATTACAAAAATAGAAGCAAGGTTTTTATTCACTAAATAGGAGTAATTACTATCACACTTGGAAAACGCTGTCAATTATGTCAGTATACTATGATTACTGTCATACTTAAGGTGTGGTAATGCCAAAATATAGTATAGGAATAGAAGAAATAGGTTTAGACCATCTGACAGAACGATCTATGAGTTGGGCTACATAAAAGATACCCCGTACTATTCTAAAATGGATGTAGTTTAAGTGAATCTTCAGTATGACTTGAGGCTCCACCCTAAAAAGAGTGAAACTAGTCATATGTGTGAGTTTGCAAGACATAAATGGACCATAAAAAAGAATCAAACACAGCAAACATTATCCATGTCAAGTGGAGATTCAGACCTCAGACCTCAAGATGGAAGCAGATATTATCCATGTCAAGAGTTGGCACTCCAAAGCACTTGATTCTAACAGCTTCAGCCCTCTTCCAGTGGTTGTGGATATCTTCCAGCATGTTGTGTGTTACTCCACCCCTCCCTTAGCAGCAAATGACATAACATCAATATCAATCAGCATTCTTTCAGAAAACATTTTTTACAACAAGAATACAGCTAGAGAAGGAAACGGGGATGTTACCCAAATTGATTTGGCTAGAACAGTTACTATTGTACCGGTACTTCTCAATAAGCTCGGCAATTTCCTCCTCCGTTAACGGTTCTCCAAGAACGGCTTGGCGCGCCTGGGCCACTTTGTCCAAGTCCGCCGGAGATGGCGCCGGAGCACAAGTCCCGGTCCATTTTCTGTCAAGGCGTCCAGGCCCAAAAGGAGAGAATTTCGGCGGCTCGCGGAAACCGATAGGCTCGATGGCCGGGTTGGTCTCCGAGTAAGAGTACCGGAAATCAAACGGCAGTTCAGAAATCAATGGAAAGTCTGGAGATTTTTTAGAATTCTTAGTCGGTGAGTTTTTCGCAATCTTCTTCTTCTCTGATTTGTGGTGTGTTGGGGCTTTGGGGGTGACGGCAGAAAATGGAGGGTCCTTCACATTGTCGTCTTGTTCCCCTCCAGTCAGAGAGTGTTTGAGCATACGAGGAAGATGCTCAAAGAATGGGGAAGGCTTGTTATAAGATACTCTGGAGCAAAGGGTCCATTTACGCCATGGAAGTAGCTCCAACATTCTGGCATCTGAAAGGCGTGGTTCCTCTGCTGCTTTGTTTGTTTGAAATTAGAACGGCAAGGTTTGGCTATTAGCAGCCAGGATCCCAGGACATCATAAATCCAAATATTGCTCTGAAAAAATGGTACTCAATCCAATTTTACCCTGTACTATATTGTTACCAAAATAATACTCCCTCCGGTTTTTAATAAACTTCACACTTTCCTTTTTGGGACGGTCTAAAATAAACTTCACACTTCCTTATTTCCTTTTGAGTTAATGACTCAAATAGGACCAAGGTTGTTAAAATCGTATTTTTGAATCGAATCGGTAGATGTTTTTAAAAATCGAATCGTAAAATCGAATCGCAAATCGTAAGATTTTACCAAACATATTTTAATAATTATAAAATAAATAAATATTAAAATTAAGTTGCAAGTTAATGATATTATATCATTTCATTACATAAAACTATAACTAAAATGTCAAAAGCAAGATTTATAAACTGTGTTTATAATGTAAATGTATTGAATAATAACATTAAACATATGTAAAACATAAAAATAATTAAGTAACACAAGAATTCATTACTTTTACAAATAAACGATTCCTATTATTATTATTATTGGAATTATGTATCAATTTGTAGTTGTTAATTTTAATAAATTTGAACCATTTTCACCAAAAACAACTTATTACGATTTTGCTACGATTTTGCTACGATTTTATACGATTTTACACGATTTTAGGACAATTTTTTTTACGATTTTGTACGATTTTACGATTTTACCTGCGATTTGAATCGCTTTATTAATGTAGAATCGTAAAATCGTACGATTTTACGATTTAAATCGAGATTTTAACAACCATGAATAGGACTGATAGGCAACTTAATTGCACATTTAGGACCATAAACGAAACACTAGTTTCATAGGACCAATTTCAATATAGTTGGACAAAAATGCCCCTCTTTTAATTTTTTAAATTTTAAAAACGTGAATAGAAAAAGTATTGAAACCCAGCACTACGGCCCCAGAGCCAAACCGCTTGCCGCTGCACGATGCCGGCACAGCCCACCGCCGCAATTGCCGGCGCAACCCACCACCGCCCTTGCCGGCGACGGCACCACCTGTCGCCGCCCTCACCAACTGCCGCCGCATCCTTGTCGGCGCTCGTCGCCATTAATCACCGCCCCTGCCGCCTTAGCTTCACATCCACTGGCGTCGCCATCCACCACCTCCGCCACCACTCAGCGGCGTCGCCATCCATGTCATCACGATATGATCTGAGTTGCCATCCACTGCCACCACCATCCTCTGAGCACTGCCATCACCGTGATAACTCAGGCAGAATAAATCTGCCATCAAGTTGGCAGATTATTGTGGGAGATGGGATTTCCATAAACAAAGGTTTCAAATCTGCCAAAAAGTTGGCAGATTTATCTTGGATATTAACACAAAAATGCCACAAATTTGGCAAAAATTGAAAAACATGGAATAAATATCGAAAAATTCAAACAACTAAATTTTTAAAATGGAATAAGTATTTTAACATAACCGAAAATTTTAAAAACGAAGCTATTGACAAAAACTAAAAACAACAATTTATACAAAAGCATTTCTTCCATAATATGGTTGTCCATGTAACATTTCTGCCATAATTTTGGCCAAATCTGAAGCAATCATCCAAATTTTTCTGAAAATTGATTTTTTTAAAACTGGTGTATCGGAAATCAGAAAATTGAAAGAGAAATCCAAAAATTAGAAAAATCAATTCAAAATATAAAAAAAAACAGAGCCAAATCGGAAATTAAGGAGAAGAAGAATTTTCAAAGAAGAAGAAGTAGGAGGAGGAGGATGGAGGATGAGAACCTTAGTGGCAGCGGCACATGGTGAAATTGACAGCAACAATGGCGTGAGATGGCGAGGTTTGCGGCAGCGTGAGATGGCGAAGTCGGCGGCGATAGTTAGGGCGGAATTGATTGATGACGCGAAGAGAAGAAAGGGAGAAATGTGCGCAGGAGAGAAGGTGGAAGGAGGGTTGTGGGCAGGGGAGATGTGCGGTGCGTAGAAATAGGAGAAGGGTAACGATGGAATGGGAAATACCGTATGTTTTAGAATAGGAGTAAATTAGTTCTATTTGGGGAAGAAAATATATATGGTCCTATTTAAGAATTTCCCCACTTTTTTAGTCCTATATGGGACAATTACTATTTCCTTTTTTGGCAAAGAAACCTACATCAAAACAGTGCCAAACAGTGTCTCAACAGTGCCAAACAGTGTCTTTACAGTGCCAAACAGTGCCAAACAGTGCCTCAACAGTGTACTCTACAGTAAAGTCAAATTTCTTTCCTTATTTTGTGTGAAGTCAAACTGTGAAGATTAAAAAAAACCGGAGGTAGTATTATTGTACAAATAAAAACATTTTCCTAACATAAAATCCTTATATAGGATTATAAATATATATTCCGTGTGTTTTCATATATTTATGAATAAGTACGACTTTTCACTATGGATCATTATGAATCATCCGGAAACAGTCTCTGTGCTTTAGATTTCGTACATCTGACCCCATTTACCCCTCTTATCTTATCGTAGGTGAAGCCTTTGATGCACTAGAGTAATGATGATGAATGGATGAATAAGTACGACTTTCAACATCACACTCAGCAGAAAGAATTGAAGTTTCGATAAATAATTTTTTACTTTATTTTTTGGAAATCATACATATTGAAAGTACACATTTTGTTTTTGTTTTACATAGATATCTTGGACTAAATTTTAAAAATTGTATCCCTTATATAATTAAATGAGCATACAATTAAAAATCTTAGATTAATTGTTTTTAACTTTCAACTAGTGCTGGACTCGGGCCGGTTCGGGCCCGGTTCGGGCCTGGGCCCGGCCGGGCCTCGGGCCAGGAAAGGGAGGCCCGAGCCCGAACCGCCGGTGGCCGGTTCCGGTCCCGGTTCCGGACCAAACCGGGCCGGGCCGGGCCGGGCCGAACCGGCCCAATTAATTTTTTTTTTTGTTCTCCTATTTAATCCCCTACCCCTCCCCCTCAACCCCAAACCATCCCAAACCACCTCAAATGGCCCAAAATACCTAATCCAACCTAAAACTTAAAAAAATTCAAAAAAAAAATAATTAAAATCCGGCCCGGACCGGGCCCGAACCGGCCGGGCCGGTTCACCAAAACCTGGGCCCGGGCCCGAACTGCCCAGCAGCCGGGCCGGGCCGAACCGAACCGGTGGACCCACCGGGCCCCGGGCCGGGCCGGGCCAAACAGTAACCGGGCCGGGCCGGGCCGCCCGGCCCGAGTCCAGCACTACTTTCAACTATCATTTGCTATCCTCAGAAAAATGATCATAAAATTATACTCCGTAATACGACGTATTATGCTTATTTATAATATAAAGGGGGTGTGTGGAATCGATTCTGCTTCTAATTCTTTTCTAAAAAAGAAGCAGAATCGGAATCAATTTTCAGAAGCGGCTCTCCACTAGTTTTTAAAAAACTAATTCTAGAAGTAAATTAAAGCACTAGAAGTACTTCTGGCTTCTGCACTTTCACCCAAACACTCTAACTTCTGCTCCCTGAAGGAACAGAAGCAGTTTTAAGAAGGGAAAATGGAAACTAATAATCCAACCTTTTAGCGGTTTTCTTACAATAATCCAACCTTTTGGTTATTCATGAATAATCCAACCTTTGCACCTCATCTTCATTCACTGGTCCCCGATCAGTTAATGACCTGCTATTCCAAGCTATTTTCTTATCTTTTCAAAATATTATCTTTGTGAAAGATGAAATTTATGGTATAATGATTTGCAAAGATAAGAAAATAGCTTGGAATAGCAGGTCATCAACCGGTCAAGGACCAGTGAATGAAGATGTGGTGCAAAGGTTGGATTATTCATGAATAATCAAAAGGTGGGATTATTAAAAGAAGACCGCTAAAAGGTTGGATTATTAGTTTCCATTTTCCCTTTTAAGAATCAAATCCAAACACCCAAAATCACAAATTACAAGTATGAATGCAAAGTCGCCCTTTTTCTACAGACAGTTTACGGTTGCACTTTAGTCTAAAGTGTATCATCATCAGGCATCAGCCCATGGATATTTGTATTTGAGAAGGCTTTATGGTATTGTCATACATGCTCTCCTATGGAGCACGAATGTCCTTGTGACCTTGTGAGATTGACAAAAAGGGCAATACCTAATGCCAAAGAGTTGTATGTCCTCTTTTATTAGATCGGTGGTGTTTAAAGAAGACAGGCTATTTTATTGAGTATAAGAATCTCCATAACTAATGGGACATTAAAAGGGGACAAAAAGGCGTCTAAGAAACATAGTAAAAGCAGAAAGTTAAAAAAAAGTGGACACTAAAAGTGAAGTTAGACCAGTAAAGTAGGATGTATATGTATAGATAATTACAGCAAGACATTCACATTGCCTACTGCATTGCGTGAAACTTTAACGTGTTTACTTCGTCGTGCTAACAGTAACAATGGGGGCCATGTCAAGCCAACCCTTAAAGCTTTAGAAGCCAGTCCATGAACAACATAACACACTAGCTACCTTAGCACAATTCAATTCACAAACCAAACACTTTTACATTCCCAAGTCCAAACCAGCTTCAGATGAATGAGTAATGCCAGTCGCTCTCGCAGCTCACTGATAATCCACTGCAGGAGTCAACTTTACTATGCTTTGACAGTGAGTGAAGTGAAGTAGTAATTTCACCTCCAAATTGTCATCGACCTGGTGAACCAGGATGGACAGTTGACACTTTTCCAGATGAATAATGCTTGTAGTGTCACCTGCCTTGTGCGGATGTGCCCTACGATAGGAATATATACAACTTTGAAGCCACAAATATGTACATATAGGAAAGGTTCATCAGCAACCCTTTGGCCGAAAATATTTGGGTGGCATAGAAGAGCACTTTTCATTCATATGAGAGTATGGTTCCATGGTATTGTAGTCCGGAAATTCCATTCGGTACTTCCCCAGAATTTGACAGAACGGAAGTTTTACTGTGTCCCCGTCATTGCACCACGTTGGTAAGCGTCCCATATCATTCTC